AGGGGTCCCAGTCCCACATCAGGCCCCCCAGCCCAGGGTTCCAGTGCCGGAAAGAGAAGTCCCAAGAATTTTGGACTGTAAAAAGCAGCAGGGATTGTGGCTGAGTGACACAGAGGCTGTGGGAGTCCCAGGTAGCTCCTCTTAAAGGACCAGAGCACCGACTTACACAGACTCACTCCCTCTGACCTCCAGCACCGGGAGGCAGCTTGAAAGGAACCTGGGACATTTGAGGGGGAACTAACTTGCCTGGATTCAGGGCGAGAGCTGGAGGGGCAGCTTTCTCCCAGACAGAAGAGCTGGCAGAGGCCATTGCTCCTTTGATGAGCCTTCCCCACACAGAGCAGGTAGGCAGGCAAGCACCTTCTCTGAATCTCCATCAACTTGACACACAGCTTTGGCCCCGCCCTGGTGATTCCCTGAGACCCAGCCCCTCCCTACCTGCAAGCTCATCCAAGTCATTTCCAGTGGCTTTTCTATGCAAGTAGCCTCTCTAGCCTCATGCTTAGGAATTTCCTAAAATCTCTCAAACAAGTAGCAGCTGGTCTCAGCATGCCCTGTACCTCTAGATAAGCGGCCCCAGGCCTGGCACTAGCAGCAGCCTGCATTGGTTCATCGCTTGGCCTCTCCTGGACACTTCCAAGCCTAGCAGAAGTATCAGCCATCTATGGATTGCTGTATAACTCATGCTGGGTGGCCCTGGGCAAGGCACTGGCAGAGGCTGACTTTGCACCTCCCAGGAGACCCCAGAGACAGTGCACCTGGTGGTGAGCTTCGACCACACTGGATTATAACCTTACCACACCCACGAGTGACACACTCAAGGGGTGCACTTTGTGAACACCAAAGCTCCCTTGCTCCATAGGGGTGTCTCCAGCACAGCAGCTCTTCAGCTGTAGTTGCAGCTGGTCCTCACAGCCAATTGGCCTGGGGGTCAATTCCTCCCAGTGACACCAACAGCAACCAAGGCTCAACTACAACAGGACAGTACACACGGTACACACAGGGGAGCACCTAGAACGCCCAGTTCAGGTAACTGGGGAGACTGAGCCACTGGGCCCTACAGGACATCTACACAAAGCCACTCTATAAATTCCAGGAGACACAGCAGCTTTTCCAAATACATAGACACAAACACCAGGAAGCAGCCAAAATGTGAAGGCAAAGAAACATGTCACAAATGGATGAACACAAGAAATCTTCAGAAAAAGAACTAAATGAAATGGAGCCAAGCAAGCTACCAGATATAGAGTTCAAAACAATGGTTATAAGGATGCCCGAGGATCTTAGTAAGACTATTAAGGAAATTAGTGAGACCATCAACGACATAATAAACAACCAGTCAGAAAGGAAGTCTACACTAACTGAAAGGAAGAATAATTTACAGGGAATCAACAGTAGAGGACGCTGAGAATCAAATCAACAATTTGGAATATGAGGAAACAAAAAACACCCAATCAGAAGAGCAAAAAGAGAATCCTGAAACTTGAAGATAGCATAAGGAGTCTCTGGGACAACTTCAAGCACACCAACATTCGTATTATTAGGATGCCAGAGGGAGAAGAAAGAGAGCAAGAAATTGAAAACCTATTTGAAAAAACAATCTGAGAAAACTTCCCCTACCTGGTGAAAGAACAGACTTACTAGTCCAGGAAGCACAGAGTCCCAAACAAGAGGAACCTAAAGAGGCCCACAGCAAGACACATCATAATTAAAATGCCAAAGGTTAAAGACAAAGAGAGAATCTTAAAAGCAGCAAGAGAAAAGCAGTTAGTTACCTACAAGGGAGCACCCATAAGACTGTCAGCTGATTTCTCAACAGAAACTTTGCAGGCCAGAAGGGAGTGTCAAGATATATTCAAAGTGATGAAAAGCAAGAACCTACAACCAAGATTACCCTACCCAGCAAAGCTATCATTTAGAATTGAAGGTCAGATAAAGAGCTTCACAGATAAGAAAAAGCTAAAGGAGTTCATCACCACCAGACCAGTACTACATGAAATGCTGAAGAGTCTTCTTTAAGAAGAAGCTAATGAACAAAAGAATCTGACAAACTAAATAGACCCAGAGACACTGAAGCATGAAACGCACTGTTGTATCTCAGAAGGAAGAGGGAAGGGGGGTAGAGGGTGGGAAGAGATTAACCAAAGAGAGTTACAGGCATATATGCATAACCCACTGGCACAGACAGTAATAGGGTGACGGTCTGGGGAGGGGGATGGAAGCAAGTGTAGAGGGTCAATGGGGGAAAAATGGGACTCCTATAATAGTTTCAACAATAAAGATAAATTTAAAAATAAATAAATAAAAGCAGGATCAGAAAAAGGAGGGCACAGACCAAATTGATTTTGTAAAATTAAATTCAGAAGGAAAAGAAGGTACACATCTAAGGTTTTAAGTCACTGTTACCAATTCCTGATCTCCAAATCCAGGGGGAAGGTAAATTCAGGGGGTGAGATTAGGCCTCAGCTACGCTGGCATTTATAAAACATTCTGGCAGTGCTCTGCCAGGCAGTCTATAATTGGAGAGTTTGCCTCAGAGACTTAAAATGAACTCAGAGTTTCAGAAGCCAACAACCAGGTCCCCTGAGCAGTGAGCTGTGTAGCCATGGGGCTGCTGCTGTCCAGAACACAGCACTGGGTGCCTGCCACTGAGCTCACATGTGTGCACACACACACCAGTTCTGAAGTCTCTTTTTTCAAAGTTCTAAAGGCATGACCTCAACACCTGCTGTACTTCCTGCAGACAGAAAGGCTCTGGAGCTCCACTTGTTCCTCGCACGAGGCTGCACTTTCTAGGAACGACCGCACACACACAAAGGCTGGCCAGCTGCCAAGGCAGGGGCAGCCTCAGTCGCCTCTGGCCTGAACTTTCCCAGTGCTGTCAGGGCCGGATCCCACTATAAGCTGACTCATCGGCCAGCATGGAACCCTGCCAACCACCCAGCGGTGCAGGGGCTGCCGGCAACTCACAGATGTCTTGCTACACCAGAGAAATCAGCTGAGACACAGGTCTGGGCTGGCAGCCAGGTTGCTGCTGCTGCTGTTGCGGACACAGGGCTTTTCTGATCCTTATCCTATCTCTGCCACTACCTTCCTGGCGATCTGAGGGAAAACATCTGTGTGTCTCAGCATCTTCCCTGACTCAGAGCAGGTCCGTGCAAAATCAGCAGAGGTGGCACTGATTGGATTACAGAGCACCTGGAGCACCACCACCTACCACATGCTATCTCAGTTAATCCTCACAACATCCTTCTATTCCCTCGGCAGGCCTGACAGAAGTCCTCCTCTTGAAAGAACTTTCAATTACAGACTGTCTCTCTAAGCAGCCCATACTAGGCTCCCTACAGACAGTATCAGAATAATATGTGATAATTCAAGCCTGTGAAACATTACAGTGTGCTGTCATAGTTCGGGAAAGGGAATCGAGAAAGAAGAGCCAGAAGCCTTTTATGTTATTTTTTTTTTCTGTCTCTCCCATTTTACATTTCTTTTCAATTAACACAGGAAGTGCCATTCTTCAAGAGTGAGACTTGGCAAGATGTGCTAATTCATTTGTTCCCTGGTACACTCTGCACCAGTTCTCACTTATGCTTGTGTTCAGTAACCCTTTCACAATGTGGCACTTCTTTACCACTGAGTTCAGCACTGGGTCACACAAGAGAAATGGTATGCCAACAGGAGAATGAAAACAATATGGAGCCATAAAATGCCTGTACTCCCCTTCTAATTTTTTTGTTCTGTTGGCAAGTAAATCCACAAAATATTTAAATATCTCTCTGTTAGCCACTAAGTTTGATAACTTCTGTAAGTTTTTCATAAGGGTGTGTGATTGCCATTTTGCAACCAGCGATTACAATAAAAATTTCCTTTTAAGTCACTAAAAATTTTTTTAAATCTGTGAGAAGACACAGGTTCAGAGAGATGAAGAGCCCTATCAAAAGATCAGTGGATAATAAATGGAAGAGAATGGGACTTGAACCCCACTTTGTTGACTCTGGAAATCTCCTGCCAACACTGCTATTGTAAACTCAGATGAACTGCACAGGTTCCTTTATAGAAAGGCTGATTTTTCAGGTTCCAAAGAACTTTTCTTATGCGACTTTTAGTTGCCCTGTGAAAATCCACAGCTTTTCATGACTGATTTCTAAACAGCAGCACTGGACCACATGAAGAGGATGTTCTTATGGGGAGTATGCAAATATTACTAGCTTTATCATGAACTCCTTGCCTAAGCACCAGTAAGTCACTCTACCCAGAACAACTTAACATTGCTCCCATTCTTTGGGTGAGGAAAAATTGCTTTGCAGGTCAGAAAGAGAAGAGGAATTAGAAGTCAAAGGCTTGGTTAAGAAGACTCCTTAAGCTCCACCCTCTGATATAATTCATTAGGACCCTGCAATCTATATATTTTTAAAGCTCCCTAGATGATGCTAATGCTCAGCTATGTTTAAAAATCACTTAAGCTAGCCTTGGCTAAAATGAGAATTTTGAGGTCTACCTTTAGTGAAATGAAATCTTGTCTACAAGGCTCTCTGTTAGAAAACATATACAATGCAAGTGCTTCGTGTCAGCTACATTTAGCGGCAAAACAATAAAACGTCCTTAAAGAACACGTTCCTGGGTTAGCCTGGAGCTAAGAAACTGTCTTAGGCAAGATTGTTTACTTTACTACTAGAAAATCTGTAATAAGAATTACACGTCTCATATTTAGATATCCCTCATAACACTGTTGCTACCTCATCCTTCCTTTAAAAAAAGGACTGTATTGATATTTTTTTACTTCAAACTTGTAACAATATATGAGCAGTAACTTACACATTTCTTTGCTTTAATCAAAACAAGTATGACAAAAAAATTCAGTCTGTTAATGCCTAGGCTGCTGGTCACTAAAGCGGGGTGAGAAGGCACAGACTGGCATAGACCCTGGCCCTGGCAGTCCAGTACCCCTCTCTGGCTAGCCTTTAGGCAGAACAAATGACCCCCACCACCAGAAGACTGACCTGCTTGAGCTGCTCATCCTGTTTCCAGCCTGGCTGCCCAGCTGCGGAGACTGAAGGTGGGGCCTTGGCAGCACCTTTGGCATGGTCTTCTTGAGCTTGCTGTCCGTGTGGTGGGAGCCCTGGTACTGGAAGGAGACCAGATTCGGGTGCCACTCTGGGGTCTTGGTGAGCCACTTTTTGCCCATGAAAATATTTTGAAGCAGCCTGGGCCTCTTTCTCAGCCACCTCTGCAATGTCATCATCCCCATCCTCATCTTCCAAGCCTCCCTCCTCTTCCTCATGCTCTGAGTTTGCGTTGCTCCGTTCAAAAACTCGGGTCACTGCTGTGGCCGGAGGAACTCTGGCTAAGGGACCCAGGGAAGGGCTGCCAGAAGGACGCCCAGATGTGGCAGAAAGGAGAGTCTGTGTGACCAGCTTCTGGGTATACAAGAACTGGGCTTCTCTTATCTGCTGTCCCTGCTTCGCTCTGGCATCCATCCCCAGAGGAGCTAGGTTCGATGGCTGCTGCTGTGGTGGCTGATGCTGCAGCGGTTCCATCAGGGCCTCAAGTGCTTCACCCACCAATTGGCATGGCTCTGAACCTGGGCACAGCCCAGCAGGCACACTGGGTCTAAACCTTAAGTGATTAATAGAAACCACAAAGGAGAAAAAAAGGAAAAAAACAAACAAACACTATGTAAAACAGGTATAAAAGGCTTTTTTCCCTCCAGTAAAGGGTATGAGTTCTGAACACTAAATATATGCTCCTCATTGGCCAGCACACTGAAGGGTCTTGGGTTCAATTTCCAGTCAAGGGCACGTACCTTGGTTGTGGGTTGGCTCCCTGCCAGGGAGGCAGCCAGTCGATATGTCTCTCTCACATTGATGTTTGTCTCTCTTTCCCCCCCCTCCCTTCTACTCTCTCTAAAAAGGCAATGGGAAAAATATCGTCACGTGAGGACTAAAAGAAAAAAAAGAAATAAATACATGCTCCTAAACCTGAATTTTAAGATGGATGAGTGAGTGGTGGGAATTTCAGGGGTGGGTAGGCAGGGAAGGATGTGAAGAAGAGGAACAGGATTTAAGAGGGAAATATGGGATGAATCTCAGTAGTGATAGATGGTGCAGGTTTAAAGATGCAAATCCAGACAAAATCAAGTCTACAAGCATCTGTGTTCTGATCTCTCTCCTTCGGCATTACCAAACATTAATCTGTTTATTACTGGAAAGGCAACTGGGTTGTGTGTATTGCCCTGGCCAGTGTGGCTAGGTGGTTAAAGCATCAGCCCACGCACCGAAGGGTGGCCGGTTCGATCCCTGGCCCCAGTTGGGGTGTGTGCAGAAGGCAACCAATTGACATGTTTTCTCTCACATCGATGTTTCTGTTTCTCCCCCTACCCACCTCCCTCCCACTCTCTTTAAAAATCAATGGAAAAAATATCCTCAGGTGAGGATTTAAAAAAAAAGTTGTGCGTATGAAAGCCATAATAATAAAGGAAAAAAAGGGCTTGCCTACAAAAGAGAAATTATTGTTTATGTTCTCAGGCCCATCAGAGAAAGAAATTATCATCCAAGCTAGACACAGACCTATTAGGCAGACAGAATGATCTCTTTCACAGAAAAGAAGAATCCAGCAAACTGCTCTTAGGTCTAAACTTTTCAAATTTCCCAGATCAAATTGCCAGCCTGCTTTTCAAGTGGGTAGGCCCTCAAAAAGAATCTAACTTCAACAAGATAAAAGAATGTATGCCCCCCAAGGAGGCAAGAACAAACAAGGAGGAATTCCTCTGGAGATTTTAAAGTTAATTAATTTGAAACAGATATCAATATTATCTAAACAAGTTAATGCTTCTTTTTTATAAACAGCCAAGTAAACTCTTCACATCCCCTTTCGTTCTGATTCACTTCTACTATATTCTATGATGAATTCAAAAAGAAAAGGCTTTCAGGTCAAATGTATTCTGGGGATTGGTTTATAGGCATTCTTACCAATCAGTCTCCAAATATACACCCCTTTCACAAGCTCTTTTCCTCTCACTCTCCAAGTCCCTACCCCCAACAATCTTCACTTGAGTTGTTTCCTCAGCAAGGATCCATAACTGCATGGGGATCACTACTACGCCTGGGTAAATTTTAGGTGAACATGGCTTGCAATATGGCATACAATGTTATTATCACATGAAAGGAGAATGCACTGAACAGGTTGGGACTTGATATTCGCGTTGTTCTGTTGTTTTAGGATTGGGTAGAAAGGTTAAAAAAAACTAAATGTCTAGCATCTTCAAAAATTCATGGGGAAGTAATCACATCCCTAGCAATAAAAACTGCTTGGATTTATAAATATTTTAATGAGTTAGAGAAAAAAAATGTCTAATTTTTCAAGCTAGGCAAAAAAATAGATAAAAGTCTAATTTTCTGTTTCTCTTAGAAGCTTTTGCCTTTTATATTCTGAGAAAGATTCAAATTCCAGCTTGCCTCCTACTACCTTTAATTCCTCTTTTAGCCGTTTAGAAAGTGTGAGTTATGCCTGTAGCATAATTTCATTCTGCTTTAGCCCTTTTTATAGTGTAACAAAGCAGGAAAAGATTTACACCCACATTAAATAGTCAGCAAAAGTGCTCATTTAAAATAAAAACAATTTGCATCAAAGAAAATTAAACAAAAGAATAAAGCAAATAATTCGTTGGCCATTTTAAATTTCCTTATAATCATTACAGTCAATCACGAGCCGGAAATTTTTCAGCCAAGTCTTGCCAGTTATTGAACAACTGCTTCTGGTGGCACCATCTTCTCTGTATGCTGTCCCCAGCAGAGGAGGATTGTGTCTCAGTTTCTTTAGTAAGATTTAAATGACTCAGTTCTACAACTCAGTTACACACACCCTCCCCGCCAAAAGCCCATCTTCCTCCGTCCCTAAGCAGCCAGTCGATCCAAACAACAATACCACCTGCCTACATTTAGAAACTTATCTCAGAAATCTAAGCCACTTCGTCCCCTCACACGGCCCCCTCCCCCATTTCCCCTAAAGTTCCCGGACCACCAAGACTGGAGCAACCGACTGTTTGCAGCTTTGAACCCAGCCTCGCTCACCATTCCCTCTACCTTCGCTGCGGGATCTCTCTAGCCTCGGCCCCTTCAAGCCCCACACCTCCCTCCCCGGTTATTCCCCCACCCCGGTTCTTTATAACCCCTGCCCAATCCAGCCTTATCACTTTTACCTCTATGAAGCCCTCGCAGCCAATCCGCCTGCTCTTCTCTGATCGCCCCAATCCCACCCATCTCGCCTTCTTAGTTCCCCGGGGGGGGGGGGCCTTT